ATATATATATTGTGTGTGTGTGTAAAATTGTATATTATATTACATAAAGTACCTTTATCTGCTGTCCTCTTTCATCCTGACCATGATCCGAACTGCTTTCTTTTAAGTACTGCTGTGGTCTCCTCTAGCCTGTTCCCAGGTTCAAAAGTTGATCTCCTCAGTGGGTGGTTAGCGGGTGCTCAGGTATGGTTTGTTCTTTCTTTTATAGCAAACATCTATCGCCCTTTTCTCTTCTTCTTCTTTTCTTAGTTGAAACTCTATTAGCACCTTGGGGGGCTCTCGTGGCCTAGAGGTTAAGGTGTTTGCCTCTCATTCAAAGGTCCCGGGTTCGATTCCGGGTAGCGACCGAAACATTTTCTTCTCTAAAATTGTCTCCTTTCACCTCCTTTCCCGCTCTCTAGCAATGTTCTGTTGTCTGCTTTCATTTCCACTTTCTGCCCCCACCCCCTCACCTCCTTTGCCCCCTCCTCTGGGTTCCTGACTCTTTCTGCAGCCTTTCTACTGCTACTCCTTTGCTCCTCCTTACTGCTTTCTTTCTGCCACACCCCTGATCTTCTAGTAGGAAAGATCTACACCTAACCTTCTCGGACAAGGGCGAAAAATCTCGGAGGGCCCGTGTGCAATTTGCGAACGTTAAAGATCCCTTGGTGGTCTAAAATCGATAAGAGTAGGCTTCGGCCGCCACCCGGGCAAAATTCAAAATTTCCTACCAACTGAATATATTAGGTGTGCCCCACGCGCTCATATGACCTCATGCAGTTGTGAGCGCCGTAAAACACTTTACAAAAACAAAAAAAACCCCAAAATATTAGCACCTTTAATATTCATAACTTTTATTGTCTGTTGTGCAAGTGCCTAAAACTTACTGAAATTTACAAAAATAAGGGACTAATTTTTGTTGCAAATGCCGTAGAAAACACCGAATAAAAACAAACGGATCCCTTCAAGTTGCCTAGTAGGTGTGTGTGTGTGTGTGTGTGTGTGTGTGTGTGTGTGTGTGTGTGTGTGTGTGTGTGTTTGGGGGGGGGGGGGTTTATTGAGTATTTCCATGGTCCATCTTTCCGCCTGGGCGTTGTATCCCGCTCAGCGCTAGTAATAGTCGGCCTTGACAAGCAGGGTCAACAGTCGGTCAACAAAGAGCTCCTGGGCCATTTCACGGCAACTGACGGGACAAATGAGGTGCTTTTTCTTTTTCTTTTTTTCTTTTTTTGGTAAGTGTTTTATTGCGCTCGCAACTGCATAATGTCATAGGAGCGCGCGGGACACAATAAAATTTTCAGTTGGTAGGAAATTTTGAATTTTGCCTCGGTGGCGGGTCGAAGCCAACTCTAATCGATTTTGGACCCCCAAAGGACCTTTAACGTGCGCAGCTTGCACGCAGGACCCCCGAGATTTTTTGCCCTTACCCGAGAAGGCTAGGTATTAGATCTTACCTACAGTAAGGTCATGAGTATGGCTGAATGGCAGCAGTAAGGAGACAAGGAGGAGTAGCAGTAGAAAAGCAGCAAAAATAGCCAGGAGCCCAGAGGAGGGGGCAAAGGGGGGGGGGGGCAAAAAGAGGAGACGAAAGTAGGCGACGACAGAACATTGTTAGAGAGCCGGAAAGGAGGTGAAAGGAGACAGTTTTAGAGATGCAAATTTTCCGTCGCAGTCCGAATTCGAACCCAGGACCTATTGAATGAGAGGCGAACACCGTAGCTTCTCGACCGTGAGAGCCCCCCGGGTACTTTTTCTGTTCCATTCGATATCGAAACTAAACACGTCACAGAATTTGCATAAAAAGTACTTTTTTTTTTCAAATGACTGCATTTAATACAACTTATAATAATATGTCTTTCAAACGTTTATTTAAAGTTACAATAAATTAATTGGTATTGAATTACAGTGTTACCACTGTAAGAAAGTATAGCTCAAATGGCCCGTGGAATAGCCCATCATCTAAATTGGTCCCCAATTAATTCTTCAAGTTGTACCCCAAATGCCTGTCTTCATATAATTGTTATAGTGCGGACTGCAAATGTTTAACATTTCCATCGATACAGTGTAGACTCTTTAGCGGGTTGCTGGTGGGTGCTGTTGGTTGGTTTGCTCCTTCTTTCCTATCACACATCTATTGTCCTCTTTTCTCCCCCATGTGTTTTCTACTCTCTTGTAACACCTCTAATCTTTTGCACTTGTACGACGGCATTGTGTTGCAAGTGCCATTAAACTCCTTCTAAAACCAAAAGCCTCTTCAGCCTAATTAGGAGGTAGTTTGGTTCGACACCTGCTTGTAGATAAAGCAACCTGGAAGGCAGAGTAAAAACTATACACTCTGTGAAATGACTTCTCCATTGGTAAATCAAACTCGTGTCTTTTGCTGGCAGCAAGCAATGATGGGGAGAATAACTGTTACAATGCATGTCACCTGACCAGCCAGCCTCGAGAGCCTACAACACCAAGCACTCAGGCTATAAAGGAATAGGATGCCTACTAACGGCAACAGAGGATGAAAAAGTAACAGTAAAGTAAGTAATGCAGTCGGCAATTTTATATTTGTTTACTGTTCGGCATTGCTTTCAACTCATACTATACATGCAATTACAAAGCATGTGCAATGTTGGTAAATGATAATTTATCGAACAATTAATTATGGATGCATTCCAAGACAATTGCGAAGCAAAACATAATAATATTATTATCTACCTCTGTACCTTTAATAAATTGCATTTGATCTCCAGTAACTCGCCCATGGTGAAGTCATTTCATCGAGTACCGGTATCTCAGTCTGCCTGCCAGGATGTTTCATCAACGAGAGGGGTTGAAGCGGCATC